GTTCATTTTCATGCTGCTGACAAAGACATACCCAAGATTGTGCTATTTACAAAAGGAAAAGGTTTAATGGACTCACAATTCCACATGGCTGGGGAGGCCTCACAATCATGGCAGAAGGTGAAAAGCACATTTCACATGGTGCTAGACAAAAGAAGAGAACTTGTGCAGGGAAACTCCCCCTCTATAAAACCATCAGAGCTCATGAGACTTATTTACTATCACAAGAATAGCACAGGAATGACCTGTTCCCATGATTCAATTACCTCTCACTAGGTCCCTCCCACAACATGTGGGAATTGTGGGAGCTACAACTCAAGATGAGATTTGGGTGGGGACACAGTCAAACCATATCAATGAGCATATCATCTGCAAATAGAGTTTTACTTCTTTTTTTCCATACCAAATGCCATTTTTTTTGGCTATTGTACTGCCTTGAACCTCCAGTATATGGATCAATAGAAATGACAGAGAAGACATCCTTGCTTTGCTCTTTATTAAAAAAAAAACAACACTCAGTCTTTCACTGTATGATATTAACTTCCTTTTGATCTATTGAAGAAGTTAGTTCCTTTTTAGATGATTTTTGTCAAATACTTTTTTTCATCTTTTGAGATAATAATATGGTTTCCCTTTTTGTTTGCTAATGTGGTGACTTAGATTGACTGATTTTCAAATGTTAATCTAACCTTGCATTTCTGAGAGAAAACCCACTTGGTCTTGATGTATTATCCTTTTTATATAATGTGACATTCAATTTGCTAAAATTTTGTTTAGAATTTTGCATCAATATTTATAAGGGATATTGGTCTGTAGTTTTATTTTCTTATAACATCTTCTGGTTTTGTATCATGGTGATGCTGACCTAATATAATGAATTGGGAACTATCCCTTCCTTTTCAATTTTGTGGAAAAGCTTGTATAGAGTTTGAATTGCTGCCTCTTTAAATATTGTTTGGTTTGAGACGGTTCACCAGTGAAGGTCTATGATCCTGAATTTGATAAGGTTTTACACTACAAATTGAATTTTAAAAATTGATACAGGACTATGTTAATATCTATTTCTTCTCAAGTGAGCTGTGGTAGCTTGTATCTTTCAAATGATTTATCCACTTCATCTGTTATCAAGTTTATTGGTATTAAGATGCTCATAATCTTCCCTTATTATTTTTTGGATGTCTGTAAAGTCTGTAGTAATGTCACTTCTCTCATTTCTGATTTGAATAATTGTGTCCTCTCTCTCTTTTTTTCCTGAGTCTGACATATCTTCTCAAAAAGCCAGCTTTTGATGTATTTTCTTTTTTCTGTTTAATTTATGCTTTGAACAGATCATTCTGCTGTTTATAATGCATTTCATTTTTTCCTGCTCCTATCTTCTTAAGGTGGACACTGATTCATTGGTTTGAGACTTTTCTAATGCATTCCTTTAGCACTTTAAATTTCTCTTTAAGTACTACTTTAGAGGCATTTCACAAATGTTGATATGTTGTGTTTTTATTTTCATTGAGTTCAAAATACTTCATTTCCTTTTTGATTCATTCTTTGACCAAGGGGTTATTTAGAAGTGTGTTATTTAGTTTCCATATATTTGGTATTTTCCAGATACTTTTATGTTATTTCTAATGTAATTGATTTCTAATGAATTACATTAGAATCACATGAGAACGAATCACCTTAACTTTTAAATTTATTGCTCTGTCTTGGTAAAGGTTTTACATGGTCTTAAAAATGTGTATTGTACCATTTTGGGGTGGGATGTTCTACAAATGTCAACTAGGTCAAATTGGTTGATTTTGCTGTTCAAGTCTACCTACTATAACTTTACTAATTGTCTATCTTCTCATTCTCTCAATTAGTGAGAATGTATTGAAATTTCTGTAATTGTGGATTTACCTATTTTTCCTTTGAAGTTTTATTAGTTATTGCTTCATGTATGGTGAAGCTCTGCTATTAAGTGCGTAAGTATTTAGGATTACGTTCTCATGATAAACTGATTCCTTTATCACTATGAACTGGTCTTTAAAAAATCTGTTATTTATCCTGAAATATATTTTTATCTGATATTAATATAGGCCCACCACATTTCTTTTGATTTGTGTTATCATGGTATATCTTTTTTCCATTCTTTTGCTTTAAACTCATTTGTGTCTTTACATTTAGTATGTTTCTTGTAGGCAGCATATAGTCTCTGTGTTTTTATCTAATATGACAATCTCTTCCCCTAATTGGTGTCTTTAGATCATCTGTTTAATCTGAGTATTTATATCATTAGATTAAGACTATCATTTTGTTTTCTATTTGTTTTTTGTTTGACAGGCACTGATTTGGCCTTTCTCTGGCAGCTGCAATTGTGTATGGTATGACACTTTTCAGGCAGCCATATCCATGAACACGCTGAGATTTTCCATAGATGTGTAATTTCAAAGCAGTGTTAGACATTAAATCAAGCTTCCTGTTGGTCTTCTCAACAACAAAATCCAGGGCCAGGATCTTTTAATTTTTTCGGCAAACTAGCAAAAAAAGAGTATCATCAACCAGAACACAACTCCCAAGGGACAAAATTTCTATACTTTCTAATCCTAGAGGGTCAAAGCTCAGGGCATTCACTGAATATTTAGCATCAATCACATCCCCAGTGTTCTGCAGATAAGAATCCTCTTAACTAATTTAAAGATCCAACATGATTATCATAGGTCTGTATTCCCAATAAACTATCTCACTGCCAGGACGTATGAGAGGTCATTTTTGAACACTAAAACATAAAAATTAAGATTAAATTTTTTATTAAATGGTGACTTAAATGTTTTTATGGAGTTTTTTTTTTCAATATTAAAGTTTGGCTAAATAATAGGAGCATCTGCATGCAAGCATCATGTATCATGGAACCAATTCAGAAAACAGTGTGGAAGATAATTGTGTGAATTACAGAAGGGAAAGGGAGGCAGGAGAGGCAGCATAACGTAATTGTTAAGTGTGTAGACTCTAGAATCAGAATACCTGAGTTTTAATTAATCTCTCCAAATTATTTAGATATTTTGCAAAACCTGCTTATTAGGTCTAGTAAATATTTTGTGCAGTTTTTGAGATCTTCTACATAGAAAGATATGTTGTCTACAAATAACAACACTTTTATTTCTTCCTTTCCAGGTTGCAGGCCCACTCCCTACTTTGCTTTGCTTATTGTACTGGCTAAATTCGCCAGTATGTTAACCAGAAAGAGTCAAGTAAATATTCTTGCCTTTTTTCCAGCCATTAAATATTATGTTTACTGTAGGTTTTCTATCTACACCTGTTAACTATTTGAGGAGGCTGCCCTTTATTCTCAGTTTACTTAAAGATTTATTATTTTTTTCAATCTACATTTTTTTTGAGACAGGGTCTCATTCTGTCACCCAGGCTGGAGTGCAGTGGTGCAACCACTGTAGCCTTGAGCTCCTGGGCTCAAGGTGTCCTCCCACCTTGTCTTCCTAAAGTATGGGGATTACAAAAGTGAGCCATAATTTTCTTGTTTTGTTGTTCCTATTTTGTGTGTTTTCCTATTTCTTTATCTTCTCTTACCTTTATCATGTCCTTTTTACTTTTTTGGAGTTAGATCACAGCATTTTTTTATTCTAACCTATTGAGACTGTTGCTTAGGTATTTTCAGGCTTTCTTTTTGCCTGATATATACTTACTGCTACACATTTTCCTCTATTATAGGTTTAGGCAGAATAAATTTTGTGAATAGTATGCAGTAAATTTGTTTTTTCTTTGTTTTACCCATTTGGATAACTGAGTCAGCGGCATTATTGAAACGGTAAGTTTCCTCCCATTGTTCTAGAATGCCAACTTTGTCATAATTCAAGTGTCTGCAGGTAATTATCAGTTTTCAGATTCTCTTTTACCATTGATCTACATGACTACTCATGTAATACCACATTGTCTTAATTACCACTGTTTTATAAGAAGTCTAATAAGTTATCCAAATTTGTTCTTCAAAAGTGTCTTAGCTACTCTTGCCTTGGAGCATTTCTGTATATAACTTTAGAACCAAATTATAAGATCTTTTAAAACAAGGTTTTTGAGGTTTTGATATAGGTTCATTGACTATTGTGAAAAACTGATGTAATTGTGTTGAGGAGTGAAGAATATGACTAATCACACATATTAGATACACTGTTGGGGCAACCATAGGATGCACAGATAAAAAAAATATAAAGAACAGACCGTCAGAGAAAGCCTGATAAAAGAATTATGCAAAACAAGATATCCGAGTAAGCTCAATGTAACTATTGATGAAAACTAGGTATCTGCCATTTACCAACAGGGGGGAAGCTTAGTTCCACACAACTGTAGCTTTAGTTCCATATAAATAGAGCTAAAAATCCACTAGAGTTTTATAGCCATGTGCTAGCTACCCACATGCTACATAGTATTTTTATTTCAGTTATTCAACAATAAAATTAGCAGATCCATTTTATGAATGGGCTTGCTCTTTTGGATTTCTCTTTTCCCACTCCAACAATATATAAATCACCTGGGATGTGGGAGGAATGATATCTTTAATATTGAGTTCCCACATCCCTGTCCAGTGAATGGCATCTTTAATACTCAGTTCCCACATCCCTGTCCAGCATGCCCTCTACTCTACAGTCATTCTCAACTAGAGGAGCCCCATGTTTTCACAATAGACAGTTCAGCCAAGCAGGAAGGGGATCAAGTGGATAGGAAATCAAGCAGGAAATATGTGCAGATGCTGTCTTTATCACACAGGCATTCTCATACTTGCCAACTATGCTCTCCTGCAGGTCACTTCCAGCAAGGGTGCTCATCTAAAAATGCTTATCGGGGAATGGATGGAATGACGGAAAGTATAGTAGGAGGTATCTTAGAGACCTCCAGTTCTCAAGGCTATGCAGGCATTACTTCTCCCCGCAAGAGTCTTCCCCTGTAAGTTTTCAGGGAAAACAGTTGGGGCTTCAGGAGAAGGATCACAAAGAAGTGAAGAGACATTAGGCAGGGTCTTTATGTGCAATCACCATGGTTTATATAAGTATATGAAAATAAATGCAAGTATTAAAAAACATAACCTTAACATAGCAAAAAATAAGGCCACCAGGATCAGAAGACAGTAAAATGAGCCACTTATAGGGATGGACAATCAAAAGCAGAGTGTCCAGAGGGAAAAGCAAGTTCAGATGTGGTTTTTACATATTAGTCTTAGCATCTAATGCTTCAAGACAGAGAGTAAAGATTTAAAAAGTACTAATATTAACTGAAAATGAGCTCTGCATTGTATTTGTACTTACGGATAAAAAATACTCAGGGGAAGTATGTTTGCCTCAAGTCACACAATCTGTGAGTCACTGAGCCAGGATTAAACCCAAGACCATCTGGCCTCAGTGCCAATGTTTTTCAGCTCCAAGTTCCCAGTTGGGAAGAATAAAAGGGACACCTGCCCAAAATGCATCAATCTCAAGGTCCTTCCAGAGATGCAGGTCAACTTATATGCTTGAGATGGGAAAATGCACACCGATCAACTTTACTGAATCTGATCAACCTATCGTTCAATTTTTTGTACAAGACCTTTACATGTAGCTTTAGGGGTCATGCTCAAGCCCCTTCTTAAAATAGCGTATAGGTTTTATTTTGTTGTTTACTCATTTTCTTCCATGTCTTTTATAGAAAATTACTTTATGGCCATAATTATGCCAAGTTAATATTAGCAGTTTCACAATGGCTGATTATCATTATGTAGTATAAGGAATATGCAACTTGACAATATTCTGTATGCTTAACTTGCTGCACTGATCACTGAGTTCATAACTTTAAAATCTTTACATGCCATATTAAAAATGTTCTTCATTTATATAACTATTTTCCATCATCTTTGCTGGAAAAGTTAGGCATCACCAAACTAGAAACAGATTCCCTTAAAAAGTTTTATCTATTGGGATATTATCCCCAAGCTTATCAAATTAATTGGGTTTCTAGTAATTATTAAGGCTTGAGCTAATTCTAAGGCTTTTCTGTGGCCAGTTAATTATGATTTTACCACTGTATGAATTCTCTGGTGTACAGTTAGTTGTGACTTCTGGATAAAGGCCTTCCCACATATAGCACATTGATAGGGTCTTTCCCCAGTATGAATCCTCTGATGTAAAACAAGGTCTGACTTCTGAGAAAAGGCCTTTCCACATTCAGCACATATGTAAGGTTTCTCTCCTGTATGAATTCGCTGGTGTCCCGGAAGGTGAGACTTCTGAGAGAAGGCTTTCCCACATTCAGTACATATATAAGGTTTTTCTCCTGTGTGAATTCTCTGATGTCCAATGAGATGTGACTTCTGGCAGAAGGCTTTGCCACATTCACTACATTTATAGGGTTTTTCTCCAGTATGTGTTCTCTGATGTATGATGAGCTGTGACTTGCGGGAGAATGTCTTCCCACATTCAGTACATTCATAAGGTTTTTCCCCAGTATGAACTAACTGATGTGTAATGAGTTCCGTCTTCCTGCTGAAGGCTTCCTCACATTGAGCACATTTGTAGGGTTTCTCACCAGTGTGAATTCTTTTATGTATAATGAGGTGGGACTTCTCACAGAAGGCTTTCCCACATTCGGTACACTCATATGGTTTCTCTCCAGTATGAGCTCTATGGTGTATAATCAGCTGTGACTTCTGGGAAAAGGCCTTCCCACACTCTCTACATTCATAGGGTTTTTCCCCAGTATGTATTCTCTGATGTATAATGAGGGGTGATTTCTGGGAGAAGGCTTTCCCGCATTCACTACATTCATAGGGTTTTTCCCCAGTGTGAACTCTCTGATGTATAATAAGGGATGATTTCTGAGAGAAGGCTTTTCCACATTCAGAACAATCATAAGGTTTCTCCCCAGTATGAGTTCTCTGATGTACAACAAGATGAAACTTCTCACTGAAGGCTTTTCCGCATGCACCACAATCATATGGTTTCTTTCCAGTATGAATTCTTTGATGTACAATGAGCTGTGACTTCTTAGCAAAGGCTTTTCCACATGTAACACATACACAGGTTTTCTCTTTAGTTTCTACATTCTGATACTGAATAAGGGATTGTGTATTTCTAAAAACAGTTCCATACTGATTATCATCAAAAGGTATTACTCCATTGTGAATCTTCTCAAGATTAGAATTGGGCTCACTCTGGCTAGATGATTTTCCACCTCCAAAACTCTGATCAATTTTTTTTCTTGAATTGCTCTTAAAACAACTCGGTAGGTCAATATTTGGTTTTAAGTTCTTTTTCAAAGCATCATATTTATGGAATCTCTGTATTGATGTACCTGTTTCTATGCACTCTTGAAATATTTTCCCCAATGGATTATATTTATGCCCTGACGCCTCAGTCACTGTTTTACTGTTAACAAATGTGACCTGCCTGAAGAGTTTGTCTTGATTCTCTAGAATTCTCTGCAGCTGACCATCACCTTGACAGACTTTTAAAATGGAGCACAATGAACCATCCTTTGTGACTCCCTTCAGTATCTTATGATGGAAGGAAACTGTCCCCAAAATACATGACTGGGAGTTGTGAAGGTTACTCTTCCTGTCTAAAAGAAGAAAACACACAATTTAAGAGTCATCACAAGAGTCAATTAACAGAGGGTAAAGAAGTAGAACAAATGGATGATCCAACATAGTAGATGAACTCACAAAAAAAGGATGGAAACAGGTCATCTCAGAAGACAGTACAGCACATAGTGTTATCAGGTGAAGAGATAGACAAGAATGTTAAACAGAAATATTCATGTAAAAACTAAACTTAAAAGCAATGAAAAAGTGTCAAAGGTCTCATCACTACTTTTTTTATTATTCTTCTAGAATCTTTCAATTCTGCTTTCTAAATAGAAACCCCTTTTCACCTTTTAATTTCATTTGTATTATAAACCATGTGCTACACATTTTTATTATCCTACCATCACTCTAAAGAAACAAGGTATCTTCTGTATGCAAAATACTTTAACTCTCCTCCATCTATTTTCCTAACAACTAACACAAATAATGGAAAAATTCAATATCCTGCTGCAGATTCAGCATCAGAGTCAAACGGAGAATACAGATCTAAATTCCACTACTCCCAATAAACTACTTTCTATACATGTCAAGTAAAACTAGTAAAGTTCTCCCAGAAAAGCTATATCTTCCTGACCCTAGTTTTGTTCATATACTCTCTCCAACACTCTTTGCTTGCCTTCACCCTCCTCCTTCAGCCTCAGAAGCATTTATGTCATTCAGAGCAGGTACAGTTGCATGCTCTGAAAAATGTCTCTCAAATACTCCCACATCTCTTTGGACTCTAATTTTCTCTGAACTTTTAAAACAGTAACTGCATTTGACATTTAATTTAGTATAGTCATTTACCTGGGAATCTTGCCTTTTAAAGTACAGCTTATGTTCTTGAAAGGAATTTGCCTTTTATTGCCTTTAAAACTCTTTCAGAAAAGACAGTAAATATAAATATATATATACACACATGAGACAGGATCAACAAAAAATAGGACTCCTCTGAAAGGCTCCACAATTACTTGTTGAGTGACTACTAAATTCTCAGCATAGAAGCAAAGAACAGGAGATTTCAATAAGGATAGAAATATAAACCTCAGGCACCAATCAATTAAAAAAATACACATAAATTGATATTTCACTTCCCTTGTCTCCCATCTGCCTGATATTCATCTGGATAGATCCAATTTGATATGTCTCTCTTTATGATCCATGGCTCTTCTCCTTGTTCCAACTTGGAGATGACATCTGGTTTGGAAACTGGATATCCTATTAAACAGAAATCACAGAGGATTGAAATTGACTTTACCTAAGGAAAAAGAAAAGGTGCAGTTTCAGATGGTCTACAATGAAGCTGTCCAGTTAGCCCTCAACAAAGGCATAACCTCCATTTGCAAAGGTATGAAGGTCATAAAAGTCATGACACATGTCAGGAACAACCTAATCACAGCAACTGGTAAGGAAAGGCACTTGATTGGACAACTCTTGAGTTATTCGGGGAAGCCATCCTTACCCATTGAGACCAGGTGGCTGTAGTTCTCCAGCATCACATCCCTGTACAGGGTCCTCTGAGCAGGGTCAAGTTGCTGCCACTCCTCCTGGGTGAAATCCACAGCCACATCCTTGAATGATACTAACCCCTGTAATAGCAAATTCCTGTTCAATCTGAAGTGATCATTCTCATAATTTCTACTGTAATGTGCACAACTACACCCACACCTAGTTTTGTATCATAGTTTTTGGGAAAAACAAAATAAAATCCTGTTTTTAGCAAGCAGAGCCAGGCATATAAAGAGAAAAAAAGAGGTAAACCATAAAATGCCTACCTAATACATACAGTAATTTCATACGTTTTAAAGGCAGCACCCAAATAACCGGGAGGAAGATGGATTATTGGATGAATAGTATTGAAACAATGAATAGTAAACAGGAAAGGAATAATGTTGAAGAAATATTATGAGTTGAGTTGTATCTTCTGAATATTTATATGTTGAAGTCCTAACCCCCAGTACCTCAAAATGTGATATGACTTGGAAACAGGGTCATTGCAGATATACCTAGCTATATGAAGTATTTAGGGTGAAACTAAATCTAATATGATCTGTGTCCTTATCCAAAGGGGGAAATTTGAACACAAAGACATGCATAGAGGGAAGATAATGCAAAGAATAAAAATAAGATAGTTATAAAGAAGCTAAGGAGAGAGGCATGAAACAAATATATCCCTCACAGTCCTGAAGAACAACCACCTTGATTTTGGACTTCTAGTCTCCAGAACTATGAGACTAAATTTCTATTGTTTAAGCCACCCAGTTTATGGTACTTTGTCATAGCAGTCCTAGCAAACCAATACACTATACAATACCTGGGAAAAAAGAATAAATTCTGACGGAATAAAAATTTTAACTCTAAAAAGTACTAAAGACCATAAAAGTAACAAAATAAGACATGGGAGAATTTTAATTAATGATTATAGAGCAGAAATGCCCTTTGCAAGTACATTTTTTTTTTTTAAAAAAAAGAAAAGCTACATTTAGAGAATCACAGAATGTCAGAGCTCTAGAAGATCATTAATCTAATCTCTTTATTTCATAGGAAAATGATCTTAGCTTCCCCCCAATTTAATAGCTGTCTTATAAACACAAAATAGCTAGTAATAGAATGAACATACCAATTACAGGAGCAACAAAAAATAAGGAATCCCAAATGATAAACTCAACAAAAATGTGCAGAAAACATTAACGAAGAAACCACAACAAATTAGTGACATAACATCAAAAAAGAATTTGGGTAAAAGTAGAGTTATAAAATGTTTCTGGAGGGAAAATTGACTATTTTAATTATGTCCCCATTATCCTCACAATAGTTGTTAACTAATAGCAGAAACTAATCTAATAGTGATCTGTATTATTTTAAATAAATTGTTCAGACTTTTTTCCTAAATATTCCATTATTACCAAACACCACTTTCAGAATGAAAATGATTATTTCAAATGTCAACACTGCCTGCTTAAAAGCCTCCTTTGTTTTCTTCCTTGCTAACACAGTCTCATCTCTCTTATCTCAAATCTCAAGTTTTCTCTCATCCCACACCAATTCCATATTCACTCTGTCAAGCTGCCAAACACATAGTTGTCCGTGACAATCCTATTAATTTTCCTAGTTTACACATAAGAAAACTGAGGATTACAGTGGTTAAGTAAATACTTGCCAAAGATTACATACTAAATATATGATTGATGAACTCTCATATCTGCAAGATTTATTCTCACTCAATAGTCTAGTTCTTGACTACTGCAGTCCAAACTGCCTCCTTGATACTGTAAACATGATCTTTTATACTTTATCACTTCAATACCAACCTTAGTCGACCTTTCCATGAAGCACTCTCCATTTTAGTTTTAAAATTCTCAGCCTTCCTAAAATCACTCTGCCCTACTTTCACAAACGCTGCTTCCTGTTCTCAGCCTACTTCCCTCATGAGCCAAAGTTCAATAATCATTTAAGCCTCTTACCTACTTCCTTAGAAATCTGGTTGTTCCCCACTCTCTGCTATAACAGTACCTGCTCCATGTCTGCTACAGAACTTTTATGTGTTAATGTTAGTTTCTACATCTCTTTACATCTCTGCCAATGTGTTAATGTTGGTTTCCACATCTCTGTTTTCTCTGCAGTCCTCCCAGAAGAAAACTATACCTAAATCTGCTCAGGATATTCAACAGCTAGCCAGTGCATATGACATAAACTGGGTACTTAAGAAATGTTTGTTAAAAAGAAATGAATAATGATTATAAAGAAAAAACAAAAACTCATGTTTAGTTAAAAACTGTTTTGTGTATTAGTCTACATTTTTTTAATCTGAAGAAAAGTAACATAAGAAAGATAATAAATCTGGAATACAGAGGAAATCCATTCTGAGAGGTAAATTCATAGATGTTATTATTCTAACATTCTGATTTTGCTTTATTAATGATACCCAAATGCTTCAATATAATAAGTAGGTATAAATTTCTTAATTTTGAGAAAAATATAGTACATAATCAGTGGAAAATTATACTTTTGTCAACTAGAAACCATTTTTACAGCTCGGGTCCCTGTGGAAATGGAAGTACAATTAAGAGATGGAAGAAATGAAAGGGAAGTAGGTGTTACAGGCTGAAAAGGAGGATATGTGTAAAAACGACTTCACTTCTGGATGGTAGGGAACTAATACACAGCCCTCTTCCTGAAGGAAGAAGCAATTAATCAACTAATTAGCCACAGCAGTTGGATGTATTGGGCTAATTAAAAAATCCATTCTCCTTCAAAGCAGTGTTGTGTAACAGAAATATAAAGCTAACCAGATAGTAAGTTTACATTTTCTAGGAACCACATTCAAAAAATTATTTTCAATAATATATATTTATTCCAATATATTACTCAAGATATTGTTTCAACATGTAATCAATCCTTAAAAACTACTAGTGAGTTTTTTGGAAATATAACTTTGAAATCTGGTATGGACTTAACACAACATGTCTCAATTCAAACTAGCCAATTGCAAGTGTTCAGTAACCACATTTGACTGATGGCTGCTATATTAGACAGCACAGCTCTCAAGCAAAGCTACTGAAATCCAAAAACAAAAACAACAAAAAAGTCTTTTTGCAACAGAACTCTAAACTCTACTGTAAAATATACACAAGGACTCCTAATGCAAAAGCTGACTTCAAGATTTGACAATGATAATGATACTGATGATGTAATAACAGCTGATACTTAAATACAGTATAAACCATGCCCCGGTTACAGTTTCAAGCATGGTTTTTACTCAGTTCTCACAACAACCCTATGAGGATTATAATCTCTATCTGTAAGATGAAGAAACAATCCCAGACAACCAGGCCACAAAGAAATATTATGCATCTGATAAAATAATGAAGGAGAATTCTATGTACTGATATGGAAAGATATTCTAAATGTATACAAAAGAGCTTTATATTGGACAGTAAGTTAAAAATCAAGTTGCAGAACAAAATGTTTACTGTAACATTCTTTTTCCAAAAGAAAAGTGTATGAAAATAAGAGACATTCTCACACATTTGTACTTTTACACGTAAACAGTTAATCACAGTTATATTCATATCAAAAAAGGTTTGGAAGGTTAGAAGCAATGGTTAACACTGATTATCCTGGGAGCAAGTGAGTTTAAGTTAAAGGTCTCTTTGTTTTAAATTTTTATCTTTTATATAATTTTAAATGTTTATATGCCAATGCTGGCAGAAAGAAAAAATAATACAAACTTTTAAAATTGGGAGAGCAAAGAAGGAACAGTCTTGAACTTGACAGTAATCCTACAAATTCTGAAAGCACAGCAAAAGATACGGAGCATCAGGGACCTTTGCCCTCCAAATATTTGCCAGATAAATAAAATTTAAGAATGGTTTTGCACATGTACCCTAGAACTTAAAGTATAATAAAAATAATAATAATAATAAAAAAGAATGGCTTTTTTTGAGAGAAATATATAGTTTAGAAAAACATTCAAAATGTGCCTATCTTACATTAATGAATTTACCTGTGGATAAAGCTGGACAATAGGAAGCATCTGTAATTAGTTTGTTCCTCGAAAGCAGAGGTCAACAAATTTTTTCAGTAAAGTTTATATTTTTGGCATTCCAGGCCATATGGTTTCTGTTGTAACTACTCATCTCTACCATTGTAGTTAGAAAAAAGCTATAGACAACATGTAAACAAACAGCATGGCTGTGCTCCAATAAAGCTTTGTTTATAAAAACAGTTGGAGAATGGGATTTGGCCCATGGATAATAATTTGCCATCCCCCACTCAAGAATAAGGTTCAAGGAGTTTGGCTAGACATTATGATACATCCCCTCTAAAAAGATCATTTTAAGACACCACTACAAGAAATCTACTGTGGCATTTACCAAAGGAGTGTTGGTGAGGACACTGTGCACTCCACCTCCTAGAGTAAAAGCCAAAAAGGAATTTTTTTTTTAGTCTTATATGGCAAGAAATATTTTCTTACCATGGGAAATTTATCTTTCTCTTTAGGGAAATGCAAATCGTGTAACTCATGATGTCTGCAAGAAAGATCAGAACAATTAGTACATTAATTTATAAAAATGGTTTCCAGCCAGGTTTTTTACATATTACCTAGCAATGCTTTTGAGGTCTTGATCTTTATTGTTACCACCTTTTCCTTAATCCAGATTTTAGCTATCTTTACTTTCCATTTGATTGTATGAAAAACCAAAGAAGAAATTTTTTTTAAAAAAAGCAACTCACCTGGGACTTCATCATTTTTTGCTCTTTTCCAAAAGGCCAGATGACTGAAAAAGCAAAACTGGTGATCAGAATGTTTTTCGTAGACCAAACCCAGACTGCAGCTTTCACATTCACCAGTCTAGCAATAACTAACACCAGAAGTCAGGTAGCTAATGGGCTACCCTGTGGGATAAGGTTGTTTGAGCCTAACAGAAGGATCAGCAAGCACCATGTAGAGGAGGGATCATTCTTTACTCCTCTTGTACTTATAATATGATCACATAGAAGTTGACCAAGGTTTATAATTGGATAGATGTGAAGATATGTTTCCAGCTGATTTACTAACAGCTTATTGTTCCCCCCGGGAATCAGCAATTCTATTTATATAAGATTTTCATGAGGCAATAATCATGGATAGCTATATAAAGATATAAGTGAAGATGGAGCTCCTTGGCAATAAGAATGGGAATGACCAAATGGAAAACTGAGGCATGGATTCCCTATTCCTAAAAAGAACCAGCAGCTGAATTCCAACAATCTTCCAAGAACTCTCTTATATTTTCCCCCAACTCAGAAAACTCTTGCTAAATCAATGTGCATGAACTCAAAGGTTAATTTTAATATGTTTTCTGTTTAAATTTGTATTGCTGTTTTTCAACAGCGCTATTGTCTGCATACAAAAATGGTGATAGGTTGGAACCACTGAAAAAAAAGAGAATATACCACAATGCAGGAAGGTACATACCTAGTAAACTTTCCTCAGTCCCAGGACAAGTCATGCAGACAGAGCTTGAACTAGCCCAGAGGAAGTGGGGGCTCCCATGATAGAGAGATTATTTTATAGGGGGTATCCCAGGCTGTATCAAAACAGATCTAGAAGGACACAAAAGAAACAGTCATACTCATCTCTGGACACTCAGCAGATGCTCAATAAATGTCTCTTGAATAAAATATAAAATGATTTCAACAAACTGAGAAAGTGGAGGACTGAAATCAAACTTTTTATTATGATTCTATCAGTTTTTATTTGTTTGGTCTTGTTGGGGGTACCATCAGAAATGCTTAGGGGGCAATGGTAGACTACGAAAAGATGTGAAAAGGGGTTGACCTTTAAGAACTCAGCTGCCTATGACCTGTGGAAATTTAACGTAAGTAAAGGCCTTCCCCAGTAAAATGTAGCTGACCACCACAACACCGTGGCCCCATTACTGTCCCCATCTAAATCTCGGAATTCTCAAGCCTAGCAATTATGTACCCTACTGAACTCCCCCATGTCCATCACATCACTGAACACATGGACGCCCCCATCATTTAGTCCATAGCCTCCCATCACTGATTCCTCAGAGCCTCGTAAATCACTGAACCCAGTTAAACCCACCAGTCAGTCCACCTGCACGCCATTCCTGACCCCATAGACACCCCCTCACTTCTCACTTCCCAGTTACTAATCACATCTTGGATTCCCACATAAATCCAACACTAATCCCACCTACTTCCCCCACCAGTGACTTTATAAACCTACCACTGACCCTCACGGGCTCCTCTCCTCCCATTACCAATCCCACAGACTCACCCTTCACCGCACACATCCCGCCTCTGACTCCCAGCTGGATTATCAGGTCCCAAAACCCCCATCACGGCTTAATGGGAACCGCTGTCACATCCATATTGGCAAACTCTCCTGCTTCCTGTCCGGGAGCACAACACCAGGCTCCGTAGGCTGCGTTGTTCCGTACGGGGCGGTTTTGCCCGTTCCGCATCTTCAGAGGCTTTGTTCAGGAAGCAACATGGCTGCTCTCTGGGGCTGTTTCCGCATGGGGCCGCCATCTTGAGAGCCCGGTCGTCTCCGTACTAGCGGAGGATTCGCCCAGTGCTGAGCCCGAGAGTGGGCTGTACCAACGGGGCAGCGAAGGAAGGGGAAGACGACGGAAAGGCGGCCTATGAAAGGAGCAGTAAGGTGCACACTTTTGCAGACAGATTTTACAAGAAGGATTAAAGAGGAAGTTGGAGTGAACCTTCCTCTACTGGAAGCATGCTTCTGACGAAAGGGGAGGAATTTTAAATGGTACCATGGACGTGTTTGTGCATGGTACAGCCCCATGCCGGGAGATTCGATTTGCTGAGAGGGGAAGCGTGGAATGGTGCGGTCCTCTCCAGGGAGATTCCACTGTGGGAGAGAGGGACAAAATCTGGGGGCTGAACAATCATTGTGAACTGTAATTATGCCAATAACAACGGTAAGGAATCCTTATAAGGGAAATTGATATTGCAGTAATAAGTAATAACAGGTCGACTGAAGGAAAAAGGTAAATTAAGAGGCAGGGAAGAAGAGACCGAGGCACAAAGAGAGGGACAGTGAGAAGCAGAGAATCAGAGAGAAAATGGGGGAAATGGGGACAAAGGAGCAAGCCTAGAAAGGAGGAGAGACGGGGCACTGAAGAGAAAAAAAACAGACATAGGAATAGAAGTGGGAAGCTAAGGGGTAGAATGTGGTAGACAGAGAGATTGAGACAGAAAAGAGACTTGAAAACCGGAACGGAAATAAGGGAGAGACTGAGAAGGTTAGATTTCAGAAACAACAACAACATGATTTTTAAAAAATGAACCAGCCAAAGAGAATATTAAAATTGTTATCTTAACACTTAGACCTTACATCAAGCTTTAAAAAAGCAAAATGCATGTTCACAGACCAATGTTTCATTTGTATGAATGAATACAATTTTGAATCATAAGTTTCACACGAGTGATGCTTTTTGATATATTATGAAACAGGCAGCAATTTTACATTTAGCAATTTTATTTCTCATGTCAAAACAAAGGCAGACTTAGATAAGAAGACAATGTATGCAGAAAGAACACTGTTGCATTAGGAAGAATGCTCCAATCTCAAATCTGCAAGAATCACAATATCAAACAAAATGACTTTTTTTTATAGGGAGGAATAAGAAGGGTTAGCAGGAACTTTGTAGGGAGGAGGATATGAGGTAGGGGTGTGCAGGTGGCAAAACCGGGGCATTTCTACAGAAATTGTTTCTGTTGTCATGGAATTCAGAATAAGTGGTTAAGGGGAGATGTTCTGAATCATAGTGCATTAGTGCGGTGTTTCAACTCAGGGGAAGGCAAAATGTAGAGGGCTGTGGGAAGGAGAGAAATCTGACTAAAGTTTGGTCAAGGCAAAGAGGGTAAGAAATGGTTGGTTGTGAGCACTTTACTTCTCATATCTATTTAGGCTTCCACAGTTATATCAATATTTGTTTCTTGCTTTGAGCTTAAGACAGTGTAGACACTGAATTTAGTGGTAAGGGTATATAGTAATGATTAATTCAGAATCCTCAGCCTCAAAGAGTGATGCCAGTGGAAGTTGTAGACTCAGGAAAAGGCCAGACTCTACTACTGTTCCTATGTGGAGAGCCTTGTAGGAATTGTAAAAACTTTAGTTCTTCATCTTAAGAATGATGGAAAGCTGTCCTTATGTAGTACCTAACTTAAAAAGAAGATGTTGAAGGAACAGGAAGCCTCTCTCATAATGAAAGGAAGAAAATTAAAGCCATAGTATGATACCATTTCTCATCTATTTGCTTGTAAAATATTATTCTAAGTTTGGCAACACTGTTGGTTAGGCCATGGGAAACATCATGTATTACTATTAGGATGGCAAACTTATAGCCCCTATTTAGAGGTGTTGGCAATATCTAGCAAAACTACATGTATTGGTTATCTATTGCTGTGTAACAAATTACCCAAAACTTAGCAACTTGAAATTATAAATATTTATTGTCTCATAGTTTCTGTGAGTCAAGAATGGGAACAGCTGGGCTGGGTGATTCAGGTTTAGTCTCTGTGAGGTTGCAATCAAGCCATCGGCCAGGGCTGCAATTATTTCAAGGCTCAAGTGTAGGAGGATATGCTTCCAAACTCAATCAAATAGCTGTGGGCAAGCCTTGGAATATCAGTTTCCAAGTTTTTTCACGTGGCTGCTTACAGGCCTCCGTTCCTCACTATGTGGGCCCTTCCTTAGGCTATCTTACTGTTTTCGGATGACAGGTGACTTCCCTCTCTCTAAGACTGCTTCATGATATGATAGCTGACTTCTGTACAGACCAAGTGAGTCAAGGGAGAGAGAACACACACAAAACAGAAGCCACAGGCTTTTTATAACCTAAATTGGAAGTGGCATCTGATTACTTTTTCTGTATTCTATTGGCTAGAAGTGAGGCATTCAAGCCAGCCCATAATCAAATGAATGGGAATTGATCTCCACCTCTTAAGGGGAGGATTATCAAAGAATGTATGGACATATCTCTAAAACCACAGCACTATGTAATTTTTACCCTATGATTCAGAAACCCCACTTGAAGAATATATCCCAAAGATATACCAGCAGAAAAAAAATAGCCAAAAGATTATTTATTGCAAAACTGTTTTTAATACCAAAAGACAGCAGATAACACAAACATTTAAAACAGTACTACTTAGCTGTGTATGTGTATGTGAGAGGAATTGGAGGAGAGAGGGAGGGAGAAATATCTTTCTGTACTAACATGAAGTGAATTTCAGGATATAATATGTATCCTGACATTAATTATGTTAAGGATACAGTATGTAAAAAACATGAAGTGGAAAAATGAAAATATTTGCTATTACCATTTTTAACATAAAAGTGAATGAATATATATGTATTTATTATATATGTGCATAGCATATGTATAAACAGTTGCAGTGAGAAACAAATAAAGTGACCCCTTTCCCCAGTCCTTTTTATTTACACCAGTTATGTTCTATAAAGTCATCATAAGCCCTGGATTAGCAAGTACTGAACCATTGCTTCCAGGGGAAGAATAAAATTATATATATATATAAAATATTATTTTGTAAAATGAAATCCCAGCTGAGAATATATATGTATATATAAAATAACCCTAAAAACAACTTATCCTGGGCAGATTTTATTTTATTTTACAAAAGAGAAAATGAGGTTTAGAAGTGTTAATTAACTTGCCTAATGTCACTCCATTAACAGCTGCAGCTTCTTGTACATTACCATGCTGCCCCTTCTGTCTCTATCCTCTGGTCGTCTCAATACCTCAAGCCAGAGTTCTAACTCAACTGGGAAGGTGCACATGAGGTGACACATTTTTGCTACTCTGTGTGTGTCTGCAAATAATTGCAAAAGTGCTGTGAGTATTGATTTTGGGGTTATAAATGGATTTTAGCAAGTAGGTGAATTTGCAGATGCAGAATTTGTGAATAATGAAGATCAACTAAATATATACTTACCTTAAAAATTAAAAATGAATAATGGAAAAATAAATCGTCAAATAAAACATTATCTATAAAGGGTGGTATTATCTATGAAAATGTAGCAAATAACCCCAAAATGTAGTGGCATAAAAATGCACATTTGTTGTCTCACAGTTTCTGTGGGTCAGGAAGTTGACAAATTATCTAGTTTCTCTGCTTTAAGGTCTCTCATAAATCTATAATAAAGTTATCATCCAAGGATAGGCTTTTATTTGAAGGCTCAACTGGAGAAAGATCCACTTCCAAGCTCAATCATATGATTTTGGGAGGATTCAGTGCCTCAAGAATTATTGAATTGAGAGTATTCACTTCTTTGATAGCTGCTGGCTAGAAGCCACTCACAGTGCCTTGCCATGCAGAACGCTCTAACGTGGAAACTTGCTGATTTAAGGAGGCAAGAGAAAGAGTCTATAAGGGAGATGGTAGTCACAGTCTTTTATAATCTAATCATGAGAGGATACCCCCTCAATGTTGCCATATTCTATTGGTTAGAAGCTACTTACTTATATGGAAGTGACTACACAAGGTCATGAATACCAGGAAGTGGGGATCATTGGTGGTCATCTTAGATACTTCCTAAGAAGGTAATAAGACAGAAGGGACAGAAATAGTACCCACTGTCCTTTGAATGTACCATGTTCTGTTTATTTTACTTGAGAACCACAAAAAATTTACATAATTATAAAACAAAATTAAATTTTAGAAAATAATTCCAAACTATTGCTTCTGGCCAAGATGAAATAACAGGGAATGAATGCAGACGTGTATTGGCCCATTTTCACATTGCTGATAAAAACATACCTGAGACTTGGTAATTTATAAAGAAATTACCAAGAGGGTTAATAAAGAAAAAGAGGTTTAATTGACTCACAGTTCCACATGGCTGGGGAGGCCTCATAATCATGGTGGAAGGTGAAAGGCACATCTTACATGGTGGCAGACAAGAGAAGTGAGAGCCAAGCAAAAGGGGTTTCCCCTTATAAAACCATTAGATCTCATGAGACTTATTCACTACCACAAGAACAGTATGGGGGAAACTGCCCCCATGATTCATTCTTCTCCCACTGGGTCCTTCCTACAACACATGGCCCAGAGACTTTCCTTCCAGTAATATGAAGCATCTTTCCTTTTATTCATGTCTTATTTTATGTCCTTTGGTAGAATTTTGACCTTTTCTTCATCCCAGTTTTGGATATTTCTGGTAAGGTTTATTCCTACATCTTTTGTAGTTTATGTTAACTGCTGTGAAATAAGTAATTTTAATTATTAATATTTTCTAATAAGTTACTGCTGGCATGAAGCAAAGGTATTGATTTTTAAATACATTTTAAAACTTCTGACCTGTACAAAAAGGTATACAATCAGAAATAAAAATAGGCCAGGCATGGCAGCTTATGCCTTGGGAGGCTGAGGCTAGAGGATTGCTTGAGCCCAGGAGTTTGAGACCAGCCTGGGCAGCATAAGGAGATTCCATCTCTAAAAAATTTTTTTAAAAATTAGCCAGGCATGTTGTCACATGCCTGTAGTCCCAGATACTCAGGAGACTGAGGCAGGAGGGTCACAGTGAGCCTTG